ATGATTGGGCACTAAAAATAGGGCCAGCTGAGTGTGAATAACATTGTGTATTAATTGATTGGACCAATTTACTAATCAGAGTAGAAAATGACATGATGCCCCATTGCCTCTTTGAGAACATGCTCTGAATTCAAGCAGCATTCTCCACACTAGAATTTGGGCCTCACAAATGGTTATCACGAGGTTCCCGAATTTATAAAAGCGTGTTTGTAATGAAAATATTATTCTGTATTTGGTCTCCAAGGGATGAAATGATGCCATTTCCTAGAACTGTAATCTATAAATTAAATTTGTTTTAGCTATTTTCCACTTTCTTTATGTGCTAGTTAAAGGCACAAAAACAATTTCTATCTATTTATCTATTTATCTATCTATCTATCTATCTGCATTTGTAATCATAATTATTCTACCCCTGTTGAAAATCAGGTTTATTGTAAACAATTAGACACTTTCAGCTGTTTGCAATAAACAAATCAAACAAAAGGAATTGAAATAGCAAAACACAACAAATGCTTCTAGTGGTTTCCCCAAATTCAACTGAAAAGGCAACTTATAATGACTTTTCCAGTCTCAAAATGATTCAACCCCCTGAATAGAATCCCTCACAACACACATATATGCAAACCAGGTGTCGTCTTGGGCATTCCTGATGCAACTGATGCAAGGGCTTCATTATTTGCACCAGGTGTGCTTGAGCTGGAACACTTGAAATACCTGAACTTGCTAGGGGTTTGTTGAGTGTCACATTTGACTGCGTGTTAGAAATATAAGTCATAAAAATGGTTCTTAAGATTAAGAGAAGAGATCATCACCCTTCACAAACAAGGAACCAGACAAAAAAAAAGATAGTGAAGGCATTAAATGTTCCTATAGACACCGTTAGAAGAATAGTTTGCAAGTTCAAAGTTGAAGGAACAGTGGTTACACTAACTAGACTGGGCAAAAAAAGGAAGCTATCAATGGCTGCAATCAGATTTTTTTACACAAAAGCTCCAATATGCTTAAAGTCATATAAATAATCCACAGAAGTTTGGGGATTCTGTTTCATGGAGCGATGAAACAAAACTTTTCGGCCCAATGGATTAGTGGTATGTCTGGAGGAAAAATGAAGCATATGCTGAAAAGAACACTCTGCCTACAGTTAATCATGGTGGTGGCTCAGTGACACTTTCATGCTTCTTTGCATTCTCTGCCACTGGAATCCTGCAGAAGTGAAGAGGGATTCATTGAAGTATCAGGAAAATCCTAGGAGAAAACGTCATGTCATCTGTGAGGAAGCTGAAGCTTGGGTGTCATTGGGTGACTTCCAAAAAGTCAATGATCCCAAGCATTCCTCAAATTCCACCAAGAATTGGATGCAGAAGAAGCCCTGGAAAAATTCTACAGTGGCCTGACTTGTACCCCATAGAAAATATCTGGTGGGATTTGAATAAGGTGGAGGCAGCATGCAAACCCAAGAATATTACTGAACTGGAGGCCAATGCTCATGTGCAATGGGCTAAGATTCCTCAGGATCACTGCCAGAAGTTGGTGTCTGGCTACTCATCTTGTTTGCAGTAGGTCATAACAGCAAAAGGTTGCTTTACTAATTACCAAAGATGCGTCCCATGAAGGGGTTGAATAATTTTGAGACTGGAGAAGTCATTATAAGTTGAATTTTTAGTTACATTTGGGGAAAGCACTTAAAGCATTCATTGCGTTGAGCTATTTCAATTGCTTTTGTTTGATTTGTCCATTGCAAATAGCTAAAAGTCTGTACATTTTGACAATAAACCTGATTTTCAATGGGGGGCTGAATAATTTGATTACAGCTCTATCTATCTATCTTTCTCTCGATATTTAAAACTTATTTATGTAAAATAATAATTCTGAAGACCAAAAATAAGAAACAAAAGGTAAATCTACAATTTTATTTAAAAATCACAGTTCTTGCAAAATTACAGTACACACAATATTTCAAAAGAAATCCCCCATGGGAAAGGAAATCATAAGTTTCTATATAAATGTTTGACTCTAACAGTTTATCCCCCACTGTTTCATAGCATGTATAAACAGAATTATTTACCAGGGGAAACAAAAACAGTCTGTTTCATTGCCTCATATGGATAACACATGGAGTACGTTCTTGGACTAGAAATCATCTTATGCTTACAGATTTATAACAAGGGGACCTTATTTTTTATTGAAATTATCGGCACTTATTCCTAACTTCAATCTGCCTTAAGAGGCAAAATGCCAAGAGATTTATGGGCAGTTCTACACAATTCCTGGATTAGCTAATAAACCTCAAAAAAGGAAAGGTCATTGCACTAATTGCATTAATAACATGTTTCTAGGTATTTTTGTAGAAATCCCAATAACAAAGCTATTAAGTAGTGCTTTGTATTACGTACCGTATATAATCCCACCATATAGTAGCCTTGATATAGTAGGCATCGCCATTAGAGACATAAGCAAACAAGGTAATAAAATGCAATTAAATAAAAGATGATTTATTACATTTTGATATTATTATTACTAGCATTAATATTATTTGACAGATATCTCTGGAAAATGTAATTACAGCATTTGTGGTCGGGGACAATAAGCCGAATTATGTTAGTGGTGCTCAAGTCGGTGTGGTGTGCCGAAACCGACATTCGGGTAGGACTCTTAAAAAGAGGGCCCACCAATTTAAATGGCTTGATGAAGGGAGTGGTGGGTGTGATGAACCAGACACTCTCAACCCAGAGGAAGGGGTGACCTGTGTATTTATAGCAATATACCCTCCCACAACTACAGGCTCCGCCCACAGGCTCAGCCTTTTCATTTGTGGTCGGGGAAAGTAAGTCGAATTATGTTAGTGGTGCACAAGTCAGCCGTTGTGTGCCGAACCGACATTTGGGTAGGTCTGTAAAAAAAGGGCAAAAAGTTAATAGTTTAACACAAGTCTACATTACGCAATCAATACTTTAAATTTTATCAGCATTTATAACCATATGTGAAAGAGAAAATTTGTTAGTGGGAGATACTGTAAAACACCAAGATACTGGCTGGCCAATGTTATGTGGCAAAACAATTAGTCTAAATTGGTGACTTGGGAACTGTCAGGGTTCTCACCGTGCCATACAGACAGGCATGGCCACCCTATGGGTGCCCGACAGGGGATTTGAACCTGGGCACTTTGCTGCCCTGGGCCTGCTATCTGTCTTTGAGTCACAGCAGTTCTGTTTAGTTTGAGCTGTTCTAGCCCAATTATTCCTGGCTATGTCTGCAGCACTGGGGGCTGGACTTCGTCTGTGGTCATTTCAAGTGCTTTACCTGACTCAGATCAGTCATCAGCAGGGTATATAAACACAGCCTTGCCCTGAGAACTTTATCACGTCTTTGATCCTGTTGTATGTGTTCAGTTCCTGTGTTCCAGTCTTTTGAACCTATACTCCATAATGACCCCGGCTTTTGTCTTTGTTTATCCTGATCTCTGGCATCCCTTGACTTCGGCTCTCCCTTGACTATCCTGCTGTTTGTGTCCTTGTTGGTACTGCATTGGAATCACCTTTTTTGCACAGATTCACAGTCCACGTGGCTTTTATCTGGTCACCTTGAACTGTGTCTATCTGCAAGGGTGAGCAAACATATCTGCGCTACAGACTTCCATCTCTGGTAAGAACCCTGACAGCAACCTAACTAGTTGCCAAGTAGTGATGAGAGGCTCTACCTATGATTTGGCCCGTTGGGTACGTTTGCCACCAAGCATTGTGGCAGGGTGTTCGCCTCTCGGTGACGATTAAAGAGATTCAAAATAAGATTCAAAAAGTGACAGTTGAGGCCTCAGGGCCGCCATCAGGTGGTGACAACCGTGACTGTTGTCACGGACCCGGCGGCCCTGGGGGGCCTGGACTGCTCTGGCAGTCCTGGGCCCTACTTTCCCTTTCTGCACACATAGATAGTGAATATTGCTATCTATGTGTGCAGCCGCAGGCCTCTGGTTACCATGGCAATGCTCTGCGGGTCTCACGAGAGTTATTAGAAGAGAGAAGAGAGGAGAAGCTGTGTGCTGCCTGGGCCCCCTCTGCGGTAACAGGGAGTCGGGGGGGGGGCCCCCACCGGACCACCACAGATGGAATCTCCCCCCTCCCTGGACACAGGTAAGCAGGGAGGGGGGAGAAATATTTAATTAATTTAATAAATACACTAACACAACACACACTGCATACACTAACACAACACACACACACTGCGTACACTAACACAACACACACTGCATACACTAACACAACACACACTTCACACACTAACACAACACACACTGCATACACGAACACACACACTGTATACACTAACACACACAGCATACACTAACATGCACACACACTGCATACACTAACACACACACACACTGCATACACTAACACTGCATACACTAACACAACACACACACACTGCATACACTAACACAACACACACTCTGCATACACTAACACAACACACTCTGCATCCGCTACACTAACACACACTCTGCATCCACTACACACTAACACACTCTCTGCATTCACTACACACTAACACACCCTCTGCATTCACTACACATTAACACTGCATTCACTACACTAACACACACTTTGCATCTGCTACACATTAACACACTCTGCATTCACTACACATTAACACACACTCTGCATTCACTACAAATTTACACACACTCTGCATTCACTACAAATTTACACACACGCTACATTCATTACACTGACACACTCTGCATTCACTACACACTAACACACACTCTGCATTCAGTATACTGACACACACTCTGCATTCACTACACTAACATACACTCTGCATTAACTGTACACACAGCATCCACTACACAAACATCCTGTATTCACAGTACACACACTACATCCACCACAAATTGAAACACTCTGCATTCACTATACACAGACACTGCGTCTAATACACACACTACATCCACTACAGACACTGCATCCACTAAACACATTTCATCTAGTACATTCAAACACTATATCCACTACACAAACACACACTACATCACTGTACACACACTACATCCACTACTCAAATACACTCTGCGTTCACTATACACACTGCATCCGCTTCACAAACACACACTCTGCATTCACTGCACAAACAGTATCTAATACACACAAACACTACATCCATTACACACATTCTAATTCACGTCCACTATACACACCACATTCAGTCCTGCATCATTGTTAGCGGACTAGGTAGGGCGTGGGCGGGCCCGGGAGGGAGTGGGGGGGGGCCCAGACCTTGTGCTTTGTCATGGGCCCCAAAATTTCTGATGGCGGCCCTGTGAGGCCGTAACTGCTTTTGCCAAGAGGGCGGAGATGCGAGGCAGTAACTATGATTTGGCTCGAGGGGTGAATACCTCCGTTGTTGAGAATAGGAGTTGGCCTCGTGGGACAGCTATATAATGGCACAAGAAGTGGAAAACTACCTATGGCCACTTAGGGTACCCTAACAGCCAGACCAAGCTAAAGATAAGTTCTGTAGAGTGGGTGGTTGTTGCAAGAAGGGAGGTAGTATAGTAAAGCGAGTCACTTACGTGGTGACTTGAAAAACATAAATGCAAAACAATAAATGATTAGACATACACCTGGCAGATAAATGAAAGCTATGCTAGAAGTTGATGGTAAGAATAGGAGAAGATAAAGTGGAGGGCAAAAGAAAATGTTTACAGAGATCCAAAATGATCCTGAAGGACTACGTTACAATGTCATGTAAATATTAGAATGAGCAAACGAACAATTGAAGGATAGTGGCTACCACCTGTGTCACTATAACTAAGAAGTAGCGCCCAGGTGTGTCCGACTATCCTTTGCACCAATCCATAGACTCCAGGGGTCTCTCATGGCTTAACCCAAGCATAAAGAGCAAACAGATAGATACATAGAATCCCAGCACATAAAGGGTTGAGAAATCACTGTATCACCTGGAGATAAAGGTAGTTATTGAAATAGTAACTGTACAAAATCAAAATACCTATAGCTAGGTGAATATGTAGTATAAATAAGATCTGGTGAAAAAATAATAATAATAATAAAGGAAAAAACAATAAAGTAATAAAAGAAATCCTAATGGTCACCTAAAAAGGTATGCTCCGATGTCACAAATATGTAACAGCTCAGAATCGTTAGGTGCAGGTAGAGTTCAAATGTATATAGAGCTTTATTGGATATGGCTCTCTTTATAAGAGAACATCCCCTGATCACAGATAACATAAATAACTACCTTTATCTCCAGGTGATACAGTGATTTCTCAACACTTTATGTGCTGGGATTCTATGTATCTATTTGTTTGCTCTTTTTTGGTCTAAATATTAGAATGATTTTGTCCTGGGAAAACACATAAAATCTCTTTAAAAATTCTAAAAAGACAAAGAATGCGTGCTGGCAGTACCTGGGTTGCAAACTAACAGCTTATATGAAAACTTTGGCAAGTAGTAAATCCACTGTAGAATGATGTAATTTCTGGGCACCATAGCAACTTCATTGTAATTAAGTTTTTAAGTTTTTATGGTGCAAGGTGGTCTCCAGCTTACCTCAAGCAGTTAAAACATTAAACAGTTTAATCCTAAAGTCTTGAATCCAGATCACAACCACTCTGCCACTCTAAGGGGCTCCCTTATCTGAGGCTTCCCGATTCAAACCTTCGACTCCCGTGGATGTTTGTGAGCAGAATAATCAGACGCCAAATTCAAGACTTTTGGGTCTAATTAGTTAAAGGACCACTATAGTGCCAGGAAAACATACTCGTTTTCCTGGCACTATAATGCCCTGAGGGTGCCGCCACCCTCAGGGTCCCCTTCCCGCCCGGCTCTGGAAAGGGGAAAAGGGGTTAAACTTACCTTTTTCTACCGCTGGGCGGAGAGCTCTCCTCCTCCGATCCTCCTCTTCTCCTCCCCGTCGGCTGAATGCGCACGTGCGGCAAGAGCTGCGCGCGCATTCAGCTGGTCACATAGGAAAGCATTTATAATGCTTTCTGGACGCTATGCGTTCTCACTGTGAAACACAGGAGAAGCGTTAGCGTTCTAGTGGCTGTCAATGAGACAGCCACTAGAGGATTATAGGGGAAGGCTTAACCATTCATAAACATAGCAGCTCTGAAACTGCTATGTTTATGAAAAAATGGGTTAACCCTAGAAGGACCTGGCACCCAGACCACTTCATTAAGCTGAAGTGGTCTGGGTGCCTAGAGTGGTCCTTTAATGGATTAACTCCTTTAGTTAAGCCATGGCCAATGAGGTTGCTATGGTGCCCGGAGTGTCACTCTAAGGACTTTGTTTAAAACAAAAAACAAGATTGCCCACTATTGCTTCAAAACATGTTAAACATCAAAAATAATAAGTGCAATAAAAGGTCTGCTACAACATCAAAGGAAAAATATTAAATGTATGCATTTAGATAATTCGACATCCTGAAAGTTTAGTCATATTTTATAGGGAGAAAATGTATTTTATTAATCTTATTTGTGAATTAAAAACTATTTGTGAGAAATTTACAAATTACACTCTTAAAAAGATCTCTGAATTCGCGTGATTATCCAATGGAAAAAAATAATGGAAACAAATATGTTAGGTGTAGAATTAGAATTCAAATGGGCTTAACACACAGAAGTTTTTAATCTGGTAAATTCATATAAATCAGCTAATTAAGGACAAGAGAAAGTAGTCATGTATTGACATACAAAAACATATGCGTTCTCTGAATTATTCAGACACATACATCACAGACACGTTACAGACACATACATTACTTACACCAACAACAGATAAACCAAAAAAAAAAGAGACATTAACAGAAGTCCTAAATTACTCACTCACATAAAACTTCTGCCCAGGGGGTCTCTGGCAAAGAAAGATGGTGACTCACTCAAAATTAGATTTTGGGCCCCAGTAAGTACACTAGACATTCACATATCATTGGACATATACCATCTGGATTCATCTCTGGTTTCCAGGCCTGATGCAGAGGTGGAAATGAGGAATATCCATAGAAACTATAAGTGGGTTCCAGAAACTTTTGGTTTTATCTCCTTTTTTTGTGCTTGCCACAGAAATAAAAATTACATCTATGACTTGGTTGTAATTTTTGAATTCCATAGATATGTCACTTCTCTTACTTATGACCTCTATATAGTGTATGGGGTAGAGGCAGAGTACCTGCCTACACTGATTATTAAAGCAAATTAAATAAAATAAACCATGCAGCAATGACTCCACACTGTAGTTTCACCAGTGTATAATAGCCAAGAAAGGAAAAAAATTGAATCATACACAACTGGTATTTAAAGTTTAGCGTTTGACCTCTAAACATACAATCCAACTTCAGTTATGGCTTGTAATACTGACTTTATATATTATAATGAGTTTTTGTTTAACCGTTCCTTAGCAACCGCACGTGGTTATGATGTTACGTGCTATGGACGCAACGTCTGACGTCATCACACGCGTTTTGATGAACAAGGATGTGGTTGGAGCTCCCAGGATGGCAGATGGACGCTGGAACTGATTGCATAGCTGATTTTGATCACACTGTAATTGTGGGTGGCGGCACTTGAACTGATGTAAGCACTTGTATGTATGTATATTTCTTTGGATTATTGTTATAACCAAGGACATTAGCATTGATAAAGGGATTTTTGTCCAAAATGTCTGCATTCTGTACATTGTCCTTCAAATAAATGTGGTAGCACCTGGGTGTGCACTTTAAATACCAGTTGTGCATGATTCCATTTTTTTCTTACTTACTTGAGACCTAATACAATGAACTTCACAATTCACGCTTTTATAGTCATATTTAGACTTTTTGGGTGGGATTTCCCCATTCTAATCTGTGAGTTATTAATGTTTATTTGGCAAGTAATACAGTGGATATAACACTGAGACAAAAGGGTTCTCTTAAAAAAAAAACACCTATCTAAGAGGGAATCTAGACATAGGGCAAACTAGAGAGTTAGTTTATATTGAAGGAGACTCGGAAGCAACATATGTGTAAAATGTCACACCTTGCTGAAGCCTTGGTTGATCAAAAAAGCAATTCAGGTTGTCATCTATCTGACCTCTATCACATTCCTATATAATTTACATTGACCCTTTCTGACATCTGTCCTCTACCAAGTGACCAATTCATGAATGCACTACACAAATTACATTAAATAGCAATGTTCTAAAATGCAACAATGAATGAGGTTCCTCATTAAATGAACCATGTGTAGCCACCAACTATTAATTAAGTGAACAAGTATTGAACAGCTTGAAATGAGTGAAATAGTAGTGAACAAGTTTAAAAGCTATCTGAAACATGAAATGAGAATGCTGCACAATTACAGCATTAAGAATGTTTCAAAAATTACTTTATAACCAAAATCACCTGAATGGTATCTACAACTATAAATGCACTTCATAAAATATTTTGGTTAAAATTATAATTTGTTTATTTTTATATATGTATATATTAGACCTCTAATATTGTTTGCAAAAAAATAAAAAGAATAAAAAATTACCTAAATTCAATTATTGAATACAACCATGTAAAATAGTGTAAGGTTTGAAGTTGTCATGGTACCTGGAGTAGGTATGCGCAGTGTTTCACATACATAGCTTGGGTGGATGTGTATATCGGCGTCTTTGATTGTTGGTATATATCTGACATTTTGTACATATATCAAGATTTGTGTATTTTCCTGATTATATCTGGCTTCTGATTGACTTCTCATCTGGATTTGCAACCTAAATGTCCTTGACTATATAGATACCTTTTTGTGCCCTATTTTTCATCTGTGTACTATAATTGTATATATGGATTATGTATTTACTTTTTTGATATTTCTAATAACGAATACTTAGATTTTACGCAGTGTGCCTCTGTATCCAACTGACATTGTATTATGTGGACCGTGTGGGGAGCAGGGTCTGGAGTGAGAACCTGATACATGGATTTTCTGGACAAATAAAAAAAGAAAGTATATAAACTGCATTTCAGATTGGTTTATTGTGCTTATTTTGATGTTCCTTGTTTCAAGTAACTTTCACTTGTCTTTTTGTTATTAAAATATGAATAATCTAATTCTGCCTCTGGGCTCTAGTCTGAATTCACAATCTCCAGAGATAAGGTTGTCATTCATGTTACCAGAGTGTTAATTGTGTTAGGAGCTGATATATCTGCACAATTTTCCTTTAAATATAACTGGAACATTATTTGGGTAACCCAGGACACCCATATCAAA